ACGGCCTCGATTGAATTTTCACGACCTCGCCAATGCAATCCCCGTGAAAATTCTTTGCTGTTTTTCAACGGGAATTACCAGTGTGAAATGGTTTGTAAGTGAATGCGATGAGAATTCGTACTTCTTTAAATGTGACAGCTAAAAATGAAGTGACAATAAAAACGACTTAAGATGTGTTGGTTAAAATGGCGAGTAGCCATCGGATTAGGATGTAGAAGTTTTCGAAACGTTGCCCCATTACGAGGCGGTTAATGGTTGTACAAGATACGGGGCTTTCTACCTGCCGCGATATAAGCTACAGAGAGCATACATAAAATCGGTATAGAAAATGAAGTGTTTCAAGGGGAACCATTGTTCCTTTTCTGTTGCAGGCTGATGTTTTTCTTTGTATAATTGTAACTAAAAGGCCTCAAAGTGTACGGCGCCGTGGAGAAGACGTTTCACCCGTTCGAGCTGTGCAGCAGGTCAGTTTAAAAATAATCTTTCGTTATATTAAAATGCTTATTAGGAATCAACAATTAAAATTGTAACAAATGTATGATGAATCTAAATTCAAAATCCAATGTATGTGTTGAATTCTTCAATTATTCCTTTAGCTATTTGATTTATGCGAGGATCGAAATCAGTTATGTTATTTGCAAATGTTTCAGGCTTTCCCGCGTGTTCCAGCCGGGAACACTGGCCGGTATACAAGGTGAGCTGCGTTCACGTATATTTCAATGCTTCAAACAGTATCAGATAAACGTGTCGGATCGGTAGAAAGTCGACGACACTTGGCAATCGACCTTAAATAAAGAAGATTGTTATCTGCATACCCCAATTGAAAGCAATTAAAAATGCAGACGGCTAATGAATTAATTCGAGCCGACCTCGAAACCTCTGAAAAATTGCGGGGCGATAACGTACCATTTCCTAGGTACTTAGGTACTTGCCGTAAACAGAGGATTGTATACAACTGCGTCGCACTAAAACCCATAGCTACTAAACCGCGCATACTACCTATATAAATGGCCGGGTTGCTATAAAGCCCCCATTCATGATCGCGTCGCCTGTACAACAAACGTCAGGTGGCTCGCGCCTCCCCCGCGATTTATCGCGTCCCCATTCGAACGACGACGCGACAGTCTCTCGTGTTTCCCATCTATAACTACGCGATGACACCCCGTCACCTGATCGATCTCTTCTCTACACCCAGACGATTCCCATTCACTTTACTACTGTCTGCAGACTCATTGATTTTCAACCCCTCATGGATCTTGTAACACTTCATTCTATAAAACGTTCGTTCTATTGTGTTTACATCATTCACGGAGAGCAAATATGAACTTATTCTCAAGAATCCAACAAAACAATTTACTAATTTAGTAACTGGATCAAAATTAATGTATCACTTCAATCGAAAGATATACGTGCTGACGTAAATGATTCATGGTTTCCTGGTGTCGATTAAGGAAGGCGACAGTGGCACGCGCGAGACTGATGAACAGATGGAAGGCGTATATGCCACCGGAGTTGTTGTCAGATCGTTTTACTTTACTGCCCCATAAAAGTACAGAGATTTAGACTGCAATACTGCCATGACGTATTGTCGGTCTTACGTGTGCGAGTATGTCTGCAGGCACCGAGACGATATTGTAGCGACTGCGAGACATCATCCATCCCGTGATGTCACGCGTAAGGAACAATCGTCCATTCGCGCTGCTCCCTCGATTCGTTCGACCAACGCGTCAATGGAAATGGAAGGTCAACCTTCTTCTTGGACATTAGGCTTACCCATAAAGTAACAGTAAAATTTCTTTATTGTTTTCATTAAATTACTGAGATAGCATAAAAATTATTGTGAGTTAGAGTAAGCGCCATTTAGTGTGAAATATGGAAGTAAAGGTAGTAAATTAGCCAGACAATTTGGGTACTTCCAATAATTGCTCGATGGTCAAGCAACATGATGGTAAATACATATTTAACCCGGATAACGGCTGCTCGTTGTGCACCAAGATAATGAGTATCGTAAATGACGTAGTTCGACGACAGAATATGTCAGGGTAAAGACGAGACATTATGCGCATCGATAGACATCGTTTGCAGAAATAAGAGAAGCGTCGGATCATCGCTACTGTTGTACTACTTGAAATAGCCAACGATACTAGATAATTTCTGATAACGATTCAACGGCATTACTCCAGCTCTGGTTTTTTTATAAGGAGTATCTCGAAATTAAGCGATCGGTTTAAAGTACAGTAACAAGCAGTGATAAAACCATCGTACCAAAGTCACTGTGCAATAAAATTAGAAACTAATTAACGTGGGTATCGGTTTATGGCGTTTGAAGGGGGTGCCGAAGGCGCGAGAAAACTTCGATTTACCGCAAGGGGTGCGTAGACGGGGTGGAGAAAACAGGGTAGTACAAACATAGAGACACCTGCAATTCGTTTCCTGTGATCCGTAACCGTATAGCAAAACCAAACGAAATCCTGGAAGTTTCGAAGGTTCGCGTGGATGTCTTGGTCGCGATGCAGATTTTCCGGTCAGGGGTTGAAAATTGAAAACGTAGAATTTTGAAAAATACAAAGGGAAAACGTGGAAGCGTGTGACGGTGCGCGCGATACATTCGGTATCCGCGGACGTGTATGTGTGTGCCTCGGCGCGTTTGTGCAGCGGAGGGAGAGCGGTAGATTAGAGCATCGTGGGAGAGGGTAGGTAAAGGGGTACGAGGGGACGAGGAGGCAGTGATCGCGATTGTGGTAGGGAGAAGAGAGACGTGTCCGTGCCTCTGGTCTAGTATGGAAACACGCCGAGAGATCGCGCTCGCGTTGCTTTCAGCCCGTTTGCGCGTCCGAGCCGCGGGCAGAGCTCTCAGTTGACGCTCAGTTCGGCTCAGCGAGGCCAGAGAGAAGAAAGGGAGACTTTTCGTGTGTGTAAACACCGCGCGTGTGTGTATTCTCGGGATTCCAGCTTCCACGGGGTCTGTCCACGGCTCTCTCCTTATACCTGAAGAACCGCGTCGGACTACCTGACTTTTTACGGGACACAGGGAAGAAAGAAAAAAAAGTAGACGATCCTCGGATCACGTCCGACCACGAACGTTTCGTTTCTCCTGATCTCAGCGGCTCTCGACGTCGATTTCGTCTACTTACTGGAATCTTTCCGCGCTCGTCACTCTTCTCGTTAAGAGATTAGCGTCGACGGCAACGTTGAAGTTCAATTAAAATCAGATACGGTGTAAAAACTGTCAAGGAGAACGTGTGCGCGCTCGGACAACAAGTCGCGTGTGCATACGAAAAAGTAATGAGCAAGGTGACAGTTTCCTTTGAGGAAGGAGACGGGACGACATGCAGCTCGAGCATGGCTTGGAGCGGGACGACGACAGAAAGATCGGCCGACCAGTGAGAGGAACGGGCTCTCACCGTTCGACGCGTTCGACGATTCTAATTGCGAGGGGATTACGATTGCCAAGTGTCTTCGCCGCGACATGGTTCAGTCGCGTACCACTCGTTAATAATTATTGCGAGCATCCGACGTCGCCGGTGACGTTCGAAGATCGAGACGGTGGTAAACGCGCGAAACGAAATCGACTGATTTAAAGAAGGAAAGAAGAAGAAGAGATCGAAACTGTTATCTACGCTGCTGTTGCATTACGCTTACTGTTATCAATTGTTAAAGGAATAATTCGTAACGATCGACCGGCCTAGTCGTTCCCGATCGTTTCTAAAAGAGTGTCGTGTCATTTTTTGTTTTCGTTCGTTGCAACGACGCTCGTCGCGAATCATCGTCACTGCTGGGCCTAACAATCATCGCTGTCGTTGTCGGACCCATTGGACCATTTTGGACATCGTCATCTGACTCCTCGTCGTCGACGACGTCTCCGCACGTGGCCCATCAACCTCGATCAACCCCGATCGCCGTCCTGGACGTTGTCACGTTGGTGGTGGTCGTGGTGGTGGTGGTGGTGGTGGTGGTGGTGGTGCATGGACCTTTTCTCGGCGGATTTGCTACGCATTTTATCGCGCCCCTGGGCGTCTTCGTCTCCCCGTCTGTCCATCCTTGTCTCCCTTTCATCTCGTTCATTCTCACTCTCTCCTCTCTCTCGCTCTTTCCTTCGGCACGCTCCATCTTTCTCCTTCTGGATCGCGATCTCCCTCCATCCCGTGGTTACCCACCCCTCCACCTGTCTGCTGTGCCGCTGCACACCCTCTCCTCAACCGTGCTCGCGTACAATTTTCCCTATCCCCACCTATCGCGGGCCTCCTCTGCCTTCCGCACGCGTTTTCTTTATTTATTCCGCGATTCGAACGCGACGCCTCGCGCGCGATGAACCCTGCGTCCCTCCCGCGTTTCGCGATCCACTGAATCTCGTCGCCTCGCGCACACCCTGACATTCGCGGTATTTTGAACGTGTCTCGCGTGCCGATCATTGGTCATCGCCGCCGATCCGACCGATCTCGTCTCGACCGCCCTCGTAAAATCAACGATAATAAACTACCGCTACGGCCCCACTCCTCCGCTGCTCGTCGCCGTCTCTTCCCTTTTCTTCTTCTCCCTCCTCCTCCTCCTCCTCCTCCTCCGTTCCATTCGTTTCCTCCACCTGCTTCTTTTCCATCGATACTCTGTCGGGCTAACGTTACGCGGAACGCTACCTTGGCCCGTCCGTCCTTGGGTCGCGTACGCGTGTTGTAAACGCAACCGCGCGAAACGACCATGCGATCTCGGTCGCTCGGTGAATAAAAAATCGATCGCACCCCGGCTGTACGCGAATTCCACGGTTCCCGCGCTCGGACGCCACCACCTGTACCCCCGTATCGCGACACCCGGCGTCCCTCCTCTCTTCGCCATCGAAATCGCCACCGTCCCGGGTCGGGTCGTCGTTATAACACCGGCGATCACCCGTCACCATCTGCACCATCGCCGATCACGTGGCTTGCTCGACGGCGACGCTGTACGACAATGTTCACGCCGCGCCGCTATGCGGCTCCGGCGTGGGCCATCCCGGCTCCGTCACGCCGATGGGAACAGCCACCGGAGCGGGGAATTCCACCGGGGTGACCTGGTGGGCCATGATGAACGGTTCCCTCTACGAGGACAGCCCGCCACCGGTCCCACCGACAGCCTCCAGCCTCGTATCGATCCAGCAACAACAACAGCAAGCAACCTCGACGCCGGCTTCGCACCAGCAAGCAACGACACCGACCTCACCGGCAGCACCGGCTCCATCGGCTACGTCGGCGACACCCGCGCAAACCGCGAGCGCCAGCTCGACCTCGCCGAGCGCGTCGTCCGTGGCGAGCAACAGCGCGCCAGGACCTCTCCATATACCGGCGAAGCGTTTGACCGGCACGCCAGCCGGTTCCACTTACGGGGAAGTCGGCTGCGTGGAGTCGAACCCGGCGCCTGCTGCCGGACCAGCAGGCGTCATTCGTCATTCCCATTCCTCGTCCGCTGGATCTCAAGGCGGCTGGAGCTACAGCCCTCATCATCCCCAGGACTCGCACTACTCGTCGGCCGCGGCTGACTCCCTGAACCATCACCAAACATACGGGGGCAATAACCCCCCGACGTATTACAATCTGGCGGCCGACCCTACCTCCACTTCCGGCTCCTCCAGGGACAACCGGAAGGCCGGCGCGCTGAGCTTTTGGTCGCCCGCGACTGCTGGTTCCGCGGCCAGCGCCGGATCCGCTTCTGATTACAAGAATTTCAACTCGGCCGGTGTCGCCACGACCAGTTCCTCGACCGGAGGATCCTCTTCGGTCACCGGTGCCGCGGATCCTGCCGTCTCCTCCTGTCACCAGAGCTTCTCGCAGAGCTGGTGTAATTACGCGCCGTACACGACCGCCAGGCATCACCACCCGGTCGACACGGCCGGGCATCATCATCCTCACTCGCAAGCCGGTGTTCCGTACTTAACGCCGTCCGCGGCGGACGACCGGGGAAGGGTCACCGCTGCCATGGTCGCGGCCGAGGGTGCTTTTCCTCACGACGGTTACGGCGGCCTCAGGAATTACGGGGCACCCGAGCCTGTCACCTCCAGCCCGTATCCACCTCCAGGTAAGCATCGACTCCCTCTTAACATTCTCGGCTTTCGTTCTTTTCAGATAAGGGTAAGTCAACGCTTTTTGCATCCGAGATAATCTCTTAGTGCTTTCTGTCCCGCACCTTCCGTGAAATACTAAAAATTGTTCGACCGAATCAGTGGCACATTCGTCAGACGGAATCGCGGGTTTAATCTTGTTTGCTCGTGGATGCAAGGTCGCCCACGATACGTGCTCTACGGCTAGTCCACGGGGAACTCCGCGTCGTGGAAAGTCACGAGATCGTGCTCCGAATCCGTTGTACATCGACCTTGAAACGGTGCCGGGGGTGGGGAAACGGGACGAGATTTAAATGGCAAAAAGTCGAAAAACGGGACCAGTCGTTCATTCATCTATTTGGTCATTCTCTTTCCTGTCCCCACACGGTCGTCCTTTCCTCGAGTGCCCATGAAACGTCGCATGAGCAACAACGAACCGCGGCAGGTTTATTGGCGGCCGTAACTCGTAAACTCTGGCGTGCGCCTCCGATCAGCTGATCCGTTCCATGACCCGTGGCAGTCGTTCGCTCGTCTTCTACTAACGTCCGCTTTCCTTCTTGTGACTCGACCAACCCTTTCGCCCGTCTCTTTCGCACAACTTCGTACGCGTTGCTCGCATAACCAGTTTAGCCGCGTTTTGCATTCGCTCAGGCTTGCAACTCGATAAAAGAGAATTCATGTTTAACCCTTACGAATCATCTAGCGTGAGACGCCTCAAGGGTGAAATCTGGACTCGTAGATTCGGGAAAGCGTGTCTAAATTCGAAATTTGGGACAGAGTAGGGCAACCGTAAAGAACGAGAAAATACGAGCCGCGGCACTCAAGTGGAAGCACGCTCGGCCCGATAAAACGAGATACCGTTCGCGTGATCCTCTCGTCCCCGGAGTTAATCGTATGCGTGGTAGGGAGGTGCACGCGCAGGCGTGCGATACATACAAAGTAACAGAATACGAGAGCCCGGGTATAGTTTAACCGTACCCCAAGAGATGGCAGCTGCATTATCTTTGTTCGTCTTGATTCGGAGAATCCAGCAGCTTGCAATCTTGTCCCAAACACCTCCGGTCGAAGCCGATGTAGCCAGATAACATTTTCTTGACAAGCGCAATTGCACGAATTTCAGTACGGGAAGCATTAGCGCGTCGATAGTGAATCGCGTACCTTTGACGAGTCCGCGACAGCTATTCACCGCGATTCTGATTCCCAGTCGAAGAGATAACAGTTTCCCGTCCGAGGGAACAACTTTACTCGAAAGCAGACCGGTTACTGCTTTTAAAAGCCGCTTACAGTCCTGGACAACGCGACGCGCGTCCGATGTCCCGGTTTTTAATTTATCGCACGCTTCACGGCCTCTTTGACCGTCTCTAATTGGCGCCATCGCAAGCCGCTATCGCCGGCTGTTTATGAGAAACCGCCACGCGAGCCGGGAACGAAATCTTTAATCTTAAACAGTCCTCGTTACTTCTACAAAACTACTCTCCGTAGAATTCTATTCATACTCCCGGAACTAACGTCCTACCTCGTTACAAATCCAAATTTCATTTATAAGTCAAAGATTTTTCGGGACGCGGATGAATTGTCCGTAAAATTAAATGAACGAGCGAGTTTAATTTATCCGTGAGGTTGATGTGGACAGCGGTTATTCGAGGGGCTCCTGCCACATTGCTGGCGGCCGACTGCGAATCGATACGTCATTTATTCCGCAGTTTCGTGCGCGCACACGTACCCACTCGTTTTATGTTCGTGGGAATCCTGACCTTTGTTAAATAATTTGCATATTTCAATAAATTTCTTCTGTTTAAACAAATGAGATACGAAACAAACGAGTAGGGGAGGTTCGAAGCGAACAGGGATGATATTACACGATATGCTAGGGGAGAAGGAAATCAAATACGTAATAAATAACGTTGGGCGTATATTATCGTACTCCCACGTCTCTACCTTTGATCCGTCCGTTGTCTTACAGTTTGTTATTCTGTTATGTTTAGCTCGATGAATTTGCTCGAAAAATCCTGTTCGATTCTCTTATTTTTGGCGAGTTTAACAGAACTTAATGCGAGAATAAATGTAGCACGAACGCTATCATAGTAGATGCCATGGAGAGTTTTGTTCTTGTTGAGCCACTGTTGCTTGTGTTAAAGATAGACAGACGAGTCGGCCCGCGATACGCTTTCGTAATCCCTTCGTTTCGCAAGCCCCCGAAAAAGACGTTCCTGCATTTTGCAAGGATCAAAAAGGGAAGAGAGTTTTAAAGTCTCATTAGTGTTCTAAAATGAATAAACCATAGAAAGGTAAACTGAAAATTGGACAACATAACATCGTTAGAGTCATTAAAAGTTAGCGTTACAACCAGTTAGGTTTAAAAAACGTTAACTAAATGGTTAATTTAGATTACTCAACGTTCTTACCGGGAAAACTGTCTCTTATATAACGAAATTAAACAGTAAAAAGAATTGACGTAGTATTGAGTGCACGAACGGTTGCATCAGGTTTTGACTTCATTTCGTTATAAAAAGTCGCTTGGAAAACAGAAGTGAATCATCGATTATCGATTTCGCAAAACCCGCCAGACGTTTTTCTCTCGATCGTCGAGTGCAAAGATCTAACTTGACGAGTTACAAGTCTGTTAACAGTCCTCTACTAACAGTTCCGTGTTTCGCGGCTCCGTTTCCATGTTTCCCGCCCGGTTAGTATGACTGGTCCAATTATATCATATCAGCTCGTCTGCGTGGGGAACCCTTCGTGTAAGCGTCACGCACACGTGCACACACGCTGGTAATACAGGAGTAGCTTCCAGTGTATATTTCACGATCTCGTGATCCTACGATCCTTCATTTTCGAGAACTATGACCGATTTTTTTTAAATTATGCCAATTCGAAATTTTATTCGAACCCTTTTTACTAATCGCTAAATCGTATCGTAAGCCATCTCGGATCGGAGCACGATCATTTAAAATCGAATTAAAAGGCTCATTAATTCCTGTCAGGTATAATACGAGTCAATGAAGCGTTGCCCATAACATCAGTATTTATATGTTAATGATCGCAATCAGTGTTACGCTTATTGAGGTACTTTCACCAGTTCACAACGTTTTGATCTTCACATTGATATCCTTACATATCCATTAAAATCAAGCGAGGAAAACTCGTTCTGTTTCCTTCGCCGTATCGATCGGTCCGTTTGATTCGGTCTATGACGCGTAGCAAGTGTCAATAGAAGATTTCATTCGGAAAAAGGAACTGTGTTGATCGCCTAACGAAACGATGCGAGATATCCATCTGTTTGCTCTCATTCTTTTCTAATGATTTCCGTGAACGCGAGAAAAGATTTTTTCCTTCGCTGTTACAATTCTCTTTCTCTAAGATACCTTCGTCAATTAATTCAGAACGGAGTTTCGATTACTTCTGATAAGCGTAACGACGAATAGTTCGAATATCCAATTGTGAAAACTGTAATTGGCTAGCCATATCTAGCTAGCAACTAGGTTGTTTGTTACCGGCAAACTAATTGTGTTAAGTGATGTGGGGTTCCTCCCCATCTTCGTTGTTTCCTCCAGGTTCCCTGGCCGGGGGAACGGTCGGCGTTGGCATTGGGGTCGCAGGGATTGGAGTCGGTTGCGGCAGTACGAACATGGATTGGACCGGGCAGGTGACGGTGCGGAAGAAACGCAAGCCGTACTCGAAGTTCCAGACCCTCGAGCTCGAGAAGGAGTTCCTCTACAACGCGTACGTCTCGAAGCAGAAGCGGTGGGAGCTGGCGCGCAACTTGAACCTGACCGAGCGCCAAGTTAAGATATGGTTCCAAAACCGGCGGATGAAGAACAAGAAGAACAGCCAGCGGCAGCAGCAGAATAACAATAATAATAGCAGCGCGAACAACGCGAATCATCACGCGGCGACTGGGAGTCATCATCATCCGAGCGCGGGTCACGCGCAGCCCTCGAGCCACCACGTGGTCGCGCAGGCGCACCACGCGAACGGTTCAGCGAAGCATCATCAGTGACCCGTGGCCTTCTCTGGGGTCGTCTTTGGCCATCCTCATCAAAACGGTACAAACAACTGTAACACCGGTGGGACTGGTACCGGAAACGGGAACGCGAACCTGGCTACGACGGGTCACGCGATTCAATCCCAGACGTCTCTGCCATCCGCGGGTGCGTCGAGCACCGTCACCCCACCCACCGCTGTCGTTCATCCGCATATTCATTCGCATGCCCATCACCATCATCATCATCATCATCAACAACTGGCGCACGTGGCTCAGCAGTACCCCGCGCTTCTTCATCAGTCGCCTCATGGCCTGGCCGCCTGAACCTGATCTCCTTCAGGATCTGACGCCCCAGAGAAATCGCTCGACGAGGTCCTCGCACGTAAATTTCATCGTCGTTGACGGACAGATAGATATGTACCCCGCACACATTTTATTGAAGTTCATGCAGCTGTTCAAAGACTGCTCTATACCGCTACGAGAGACAACGTTTCGCGAATAGTATAATCATTGTATTATTTTATTATTATTATTATTATTACTAATGCCCGATCATCGTCATCCTCATCGTCGTTCACGGTTACTGAAGGAATACCAACGAAAACGCGTACACACGAACACACATATTATACTATGTTGTATAGAAGAGCGTGAAGCTACAGCGGCGTCCACGAGTACGTCCAACGAACAGACTCTCGTTTTCCCACGTGTCGGTGTCGGTCTTCTTCGAGTTAGTGCGCATTTGTCACGTGCCGCACACCAAGCAATCTGTCCAATTCGTAAATTCGGTAGTACTTCCTCCAGTTATATATATTATATATATGATAGTGAAGCAAATTAGTGTCACTTAGTGTCTGTCCATGAACCCCCCCGCCTCATCCCCCTCTGTCCTGAACGAACTTCCACCCCCCAGTGTCCATCCCTTAAAAACTCTTGCTCGATACTCTCGATCGTACGTTCGCTTTATCTGGCACTGTTCAGCTCGTGCGGTTCACAGAAAAGGAGAAGCGGGTCGAGAATCGCATTGGATCCCATGACTATCGCAACCGGTCCAGGATCGAGGAGGAAGGGGTAAGTGTAACGAAAGGTAATGGTGCAAATCAGAGAATCAAACGTCGTACATTAATTTAATTCATTCGCGTGTATCTTGGATAAAATATAGAGGTGTGTTGCGTTGAGAAATTCGTATTTTTCATTCTGTTAAATTTTTGTTTGTTCGTCACGTGAAACGTTGATCGCTACTGTCTGTGATTACGCGGAAAGTACTAACGAGGTGTAACGATCGATCCGAGTTGCAACGCGATTAATTATCGTATAGTTTAATTCTTCGATCGATTATTCCATGGGATCCAATGAGTTTCGTTTTTATCAACGATCAGGCTGGACAGTGTTTTCCAACCCTGTATTTAAAAAAAGAAACGTGCTGATTCGCGAATTGTCACAGGATGAAGTATAATTTGGATTACTGTAGATAACTTCTATATTAACTGGTAATTCATCCTGTGAAAAATCGGTACAGGGAATCGTTGAAAGAATTAAGACGGTCTGCCAGAGAACGGATCGGTCTGTCCTCGCGAATATTCGCTCGAAGACTCAGTCGAAAGCAAGCGTTAATTAGTCTAATTGTGTCCGGAGTGTTGTATTTATCGCCTACCAAGGATCGCAAACTAGTACTTATAATTCTTATATTATATGTAAAATAAAACGACTTAGATTTAATCATACCTGGCACCTAAGACATACCTAGTGGATTATCGGGTGGTCGAGCATCATTCTCAGTCCGAGTATAGGACCTGCATCGATGACCCATCGTTAAAAAACAGAATCGAAAGAGCGAATTTGGTTGTTGTTAAATTGTTGAAATTATTGTTTCATTTGAAATGTCAATGCGTGTTCTCGCAAGTAATATTCGCCGTTGACGTCCCAAGTGACTTGGCAATGATTATCTAGTAATTGAAAGTCTGTCCTGAAAGTCCAACGCTTGGGAGATTATACTTGGCCGGGGAACGGATTTTATATGTGTCAGGCAACGCTGGCAAAAGCGAGACGGTGAATCGATCTCTTTAATTTAACGAACGGAGTCCTAAGCACGGTCTGAGAGTGAAGACGGTGCGGTTTACCTTTTAAAACGTCAGCGAGTAAGTAGGTAATATAATCGGATGTTAAATGAAAACGAAAATATAAATATCCCAATGGATCTCTATTCTCTAAGGTGCAAGATTACCTAAATTATAAGGATCGCTGAATGTGAGTGTGCATGCCCATATCATCCTACATACATACCCTTCTTTGTGTGTGCGCGGTCGCGCGTTCCAGTTTCATACATGTATGTATGTATGTATGAATATACGTGTCAAGATTTAAGCTCGGGAGAAAAATCGATGAAGAGAAAGTGGGGAAGGATCGGAGTTTCTCAAAAGTATAGACGCGCGCGCGCGTCCGCGCACACATTTCAGGGAGGGCGAGCGTGGGTGCGAGAGAGACAGAAGAGGGTAAAGTCGAGTGAAAGGGAGAGAGAGAGAGAATGAGAGAGCGAGAGGTAGAGTGCGGTAGAATACGAAACACGTTGTTAGATAAGAGTAAATAGGAACATGAAAGAGGAAGCAGCGAGATGCACGTACTGTAGGGTAACTTTTAAACGAATGAAGAAGAAAATCTACACACGACCGCGAGATTGGGCCTCGGATTAAAAAAGAAATAGATAAACAGGTTCCGCCGTGAGTAACTATTAAATTAATACCATTAATTATGTATTAAATACACGAATATAAGAAATAGAGTTGCGATTCGCTCCAAGGAAGTAAAATTGGGGTGCCGGAAAAATTTCACAGGGGTCGATGCGACGATCAAGATTGCGTTCAGCGGTAGTTAACAAACGATTGTACTTATATCGCTAATTGTCTTGCTGCCGACGAATTTTGTCCCGATCATTTAAGATTGATTAATATTATTATTATATCATCATTATTATATTAATTATTATTATTATTGTGAGCGTCACGTTAATATTATGTTATTGTTTTTATTGTGTGTTGTTTTGTATGTACCTATCAGCCTACTACGATCATGATGTTATTATTACCAAGACTAATGGGTCTACCGCGTGAGCATCGAACAGATTTAGGTACTTACACTCGAATACGAATTACTATAAACTCGACGAACCTTGCAACGAAATCTTAAAGATGTTCCCAACTTTCAGAATATCCCTTTCATTTCCTCCGTTACGCTTCGTTTCGTAATTAAATTTTCTTTGAGCTTTAAAGAAGAGGCGTCGAGATTTCAGATTTTTATTAAATTCTCGACGAATCGAGGAGATAGGAAGAATGAGAGTGCGTGTGGGTGTCCGTGTGCGTGAAGACGAAATGCCAGGCAGCCTCCAACGGAAGAAGAAAATGTTACTCATCGCGAGAAGTGTTTAGTTCGTTTTATATTTGATTCATTAGACAGAAAAAAAGAGAGAATATTGTTCTTGCGTTATTAAGTTTTTTCTTTTTGTATATTGAAAGTCATAATTGTTTCTCCTGGTGGATGAAAGGAAATGTGAAGAGAATTATACAATTATATTATTGTTTCATGCTCAATATCGTTATGTTTACTCGATCAACATGACTAATCAGCGCCCCTCCACGTGTCGACGTTGCAGCCCCCTAAATTTTAAGCGTCTCACCCTCCGTTGCACTTCCTGGCGTTAAACGGAAAACGATTTACAAAAGAAAGTTCATGACTGAAATAATACGGGGACGTAGGTACATACATAACTCCGTACGTTGTCGATTATCCGTAATTGGCCAGTACGATAACAGCCTGCCCGAAGGTAAGTAATCGCCCTGGTGTTAGGATAAGCGTGTCCTATTCTTGTTTCCTGTGCAATTTTACACGTGTTAAATACACGTCGCTAAACCGCTAAATGAAATATCTTCGAACATAGAAATTCGAAAGCCGTAAAAGATTTCGTTCAACGTCAGCGACAACCTTCTATTATTTCAGCCATGAAATTCTTCAGAGAAGATCGCATCTCACCTGAAACTCTAAGGAAAGTTCGTCCTCTCGAACCTGTCTCTTTTAGTTGTACACGTATTTGTACGATATTAATTAAACTAAGCTAGATATTATACGCTACTTGTAAATAAAGACACACAAGATTTATCCTGTATCGAAGTGCAATAATAAAAACATGTTTAATTAGTGCCAAAGTAATTGCAGAGATAAGAAGACAACCTCTCGAAGGCCCGAATTCTCCGAGGAACGCGCCGTACGAGGAACGTATTCTTATACAATCTTTTATACAGTAAAGCCAGCTTTATCGCGAAACTAACGGGAAAAGATAAACGGTTTCCCGTAAAACTTCAGCTATTCGACCGTAATAAGCCGAGTTTAATTGTCTCCTTTTCTTCACGATTCAACAATCGTGTATTAAAACCACGATCGCAAAAATATGTAAAAATTCGTACATTGTAGAAATTTCTTGAATCAAGTATAAGTTTGCTCTTAAGTCGGACTTCGGTTCTCTCCGATCTAATAATAGCGTGAATCATCATGAGATAATTGAATTCCGAGTCTAGAGATCAACAGTGTTTTAAATACAATTTTATTGATATCTCCGATACGTAGGCAACAGTTAATATCTTGGCGAGACAAACATGACAGGATGCGTACAACCTTATCTTCATTCCTTACTCTAACCGATAATAAATTTATTTACGACGATAACAGATAGTAAATTGATCTAATATGACGATTTTTAGTGATGATTAGATGTCCAGGTAGAAATATTTCATTGCAAAAACATTTTTCTCTTCAACATCTAAGGAAGAGGGTGGAACGAATTTACCAGGCATAAACATGTACACAGGAACATTGAAGGAGAACCGTTGCCTGGAAATTCAGTCACGGTACTAGGCCAACTTTCTAATGATAAAAAAAAATTGAGCCGCCGCTATAGGCTTGGAACTACTACCGCTAGAAACGGTGCAGCCCTTATACATCTGGAGGACTCGGCAAAAAAAATTAGAAACCTCTTCCCAAACTTTCTAACTCGCTTTTGACTTCACCTAGATCCTCAGTCCTACGACACGTCGTGATCGGTTCGGATCCCATTTTGAAATTCAAAGGTGTAATCGTTTTGTTTGATGAAAATTTCAGAGAAGTTATCTCGCGCTGATCTTGTAAATTTGATGTTTCTGTGACTACAGTGCGTGTTCGTGATTTTGACAACGTGCAGTTCTAATGCGAATTTAGAACCGATCTTTAAAGACGAAGATTAGGGTATTAAGGGATAATAAAGGTGTGAAACAGATGTACCTATGTGGTAGGTAAATCTG